TTCCAAATGCTTAAAAGCTTCTTAAACAAACTTAAACCAAACTTAAACCCTTATTTAAAACTCTTTAAACTTATTTTAAAAACACTATCTTATTGTTGAAGAGCTGAAGGTAATGGGGTATTTATACCCACTCAAAACATCAGTCAAAATAACATTGAAAAGACCAAAATACCCCCAGAGAATCAAATCAGAATTTAGCCGTTGGAAAGCAATCATCAGTTCGGCGGTCGACCGTGAGAAACTGACGGTCGACCGCGAATGAACGGCGGTCGACCGTGGAAAACTCGCGGTTGACCGCGAGCCAGCTTTAAAATTCAGAAAACTTCCAGATACTTTGGCGGTTAACCGTGATGGTCGACCGTGGGAAAATTCTGGCTGACGGTCGATCATGGCGGTCGACCGTGAACTGATATATGAAATTAACAGTTTGAAAGTGAAATGCTAATTTTAAAACACTATTTAAATATATCAAATAAATTCCAAAAAATATAAAACTTTGGGAAATGATTGTAGACATGATAATACACATGCTACAAAAACTGGTTTTTAAAAAGGACCTCCCAAATGAGAAATATCATCATTTTGTAAAATAGTCCAAAACATAAAAATGTGAACATATGAATTTTGACATTTTGGCTAACCATGTTTTGAAACAATACAAAATAATTTTATAGACTTGAATAAAGATGTGAACTACTGTTATGAAGTCTATAAATAATGAATATAGTATTTTATCAAATACAATAACATATAAAACATATGAGTATGAATATGAATATATATTTGTTTCATATCTATGAAATTAAACCAAACCAACTTATCCACATAAAAACAAACATGTATGAATATAAATATTTATTTATATGCTTGTAAAAACTTTGTTTGTGGATAAACCAAAATCCAAAATGTGTACATATATATATAACTATATATATATACATAGAAACCAATAAAATGTGTGTGTGTATATGATATTGAGCTTAAAGTACTTAACACATAATATAAACTCCTAAACTAAATTACCCAAACTTGTGATCTTCAACGAAGCTCTATCTTGGTACACTCACGGATGATGCTTGAACTTGAATATTTAACTTGAATTACAAGGCTTCACTCCACAATTCTGCTAACCTCCATTGGATATGATCGTGAATGCGCAATTCCATCCATCCTCCAACATATTGTTTGTCTACAATAAATAACAAAGTACAAACACTAGACAAACAATATTAGATATAAATTGATTGTTAAATTATCATCAAAACAAGAAGGCTAACAACGGGTGCTTCCTTAGGCGGAGGAGTGTCCTCGTCATCTAAAATGTGTACTTAAGGGGATTGTGAGGCAGGCAAAGGAGAGTCAACATCGTCTCCAAGATTTATGGACTCGCTATGACTAAACTTTTTTCAAGCATCACTAGCAAAATCCCCTCTTGATCATCCCCGATGATAAGGGCAAGATCATCATAATGCCTCAAGGGTTTGTTGACGTATTGTCTAAGATTAACAATATTCATAAAGCTCTTGTCTTGGAAAGTATAATTGAATTAATTCAATGAAAACAAGAAAATAAGATAATTAGTCAATGAAAGTGCAAAAATATTTTAATTACCTCAATCCACCTATCCAAACATTCAGGCTCCATGATGACGATCTTGGTGCTATCATCCTAATCGGCATCACTAAGATTACGATAAGTTTCCATATCACGGAATCTTGTACATAAAGTTTTGATATGGTTCATTATGTTTTCCCACTTAAATATTGTGTTGAACTTCTCGTTAATATGTTGAGAAGCCATGTGAAAAGCGGTTCTCTTAAAGATCTTGTCGGGTTTGTAACCCTTTCTTACCAAGTCGGCAAGAAATGGAATGAGCTCATCATCGTAACAGGAATCCCGAAACATATGTTTGTTACCTTGACAACCGCCAGTCTCACTATTTTTTTTCTTTGTTGAGGTGTTTTTCCTCTTCTTCTTTGGATTTGGTGATGTTTCTTCCCCCTCTTCTATGAGCACCCGTTTAGAACCTGAATCGGGAGTTGAGCCATATCCGCTAGTGGGAGAAAGTTACAACCCACTAATATGAGGATTATGGAATTGTGGAGACAAAGTAGGAGAACTTAGTATGTTCGTATATGACCCCAGATGAGGGTGCATCGGGAAGTAATTGCCGTCATGGAACATGTTGGGCAATGGACGAGGTGGTTATCCAAAGTAGGACTGCTGAAATGGAAAATACCCACTATTGCCTTGATGCATGGACTGAGGGGGTTGAGGTGGTAGAGGTTGAGATTGCGCTACATCCTTACCTTTATGATTATCTCTCCCACTTAATGATGTATTATCGGCCATTACTAATTAAATAGTGAGAATTAGACATTATAAAATTTGTAGAATAAGAAAAACTTGAATACATGAAAGATAAAGCACAACAAATTAACTTGAAGTAAAACATGAATACATGAATGAAAAGCAAAATATAATAACTAAAGAAATGCTTACATTAATACATGAATGAAAAGCAAACCCTAATATGTGGAGAAAGCAAAACATAGAGTTAATGAGTTCATACATGAGCATAAATATTACAACAAATATGAGAATTAAGTCTCAGTGGTTACACCATGATTATACTTATCACAGTAGTCCACCCACATCGCCCAAGCAATATCATACCTAAGAGTCTTCCACTCATTTCTTGATTCAGTTTACTCTCTTTATGCTCGAGTCTGAGTAAATCAACTAAATTATTGTCATTCTCGTTAATTACCTCACCACTAATATCTTCATTAATTTCAGACTCGTTGAGTAGTTCATCACTTGGATCAACAGTTGCAATGAATTTATGAAGTATCGTGCATGCCAATGTAATATCTACTTGTGTAGGAAATGAGTAATGTGTCTTAGCACACAAAATCCTGAAACGATTTTTTAATGTGCCAAATGCAGATTCAATCTTAGACCTCAAAGAAGAATATCTTAGATTGAATAATTCTCTTCTATTCTTAGGTGTTTTACCCGAATGTTCTTTCAAATGATATCGAACACCATGGTATGGAGATATGAAACCTGGCATGGTGGGGTACCCAGCATCACACATATAGTATTTGCCTACAAATTTATTAAGAACATTTGTTAAGGAAGTCATGTTTGCATATTAAATTTAAAATTTAAGTTAAAGTTTTATATAATTACCATCATAGACTTTCAATCCATAGTTGTGGTCTAGATAATGAATTCTGAAGAATCCTATAATCATTTGCAGACCCCTCCCAACCTGCTAAAATATATGTGAACAGTTTGTTTGGGGTGCAAGCTGCAAGCACGTTCTGTGTAATACCTTAGCGGTCTCGAAATCGTGCAACAAGATTAATCGGAAGCATTGCATCACCATGAGTCCCATCTATCATACCAATGCAATCCTATAATACGTGAATCAAATTACTAAGTTATCATTTACTTTCATTGATTATACATATAAATGTGCTTAAAGTGTAGATATACCTTGAAATAAGGGTAGTATAGCGGGTTGTTAATGATCTCGTGGGAAATATCATTAGGGGCTTGTCTCAGGTAGCGTCTACTTGTAATACCTTGTTGAAATATCTACTGACTATCTCCCCTGATCTTATAAAATGAAATCTGACAATGCGATTTTTAGGTTTATGAACCAAAATGTTCAGTGTCAAGATAAATTGTTCTTCCACTGTTACATTCCTTGAGTCTTTTAGCAGTCTATTGTTCCTCATTATATTCGCTAGTTTAACAAAAGCACCACTCCGTATTCTAATATAATTTGTGACACTATCACTAAAACCATTATAATTACGCTCTATGTGTTCAATTCTAGCCCTCTCTTGTCTTTTCTTTTTCTCACTTGGACCACTACGAATTGATTTATGTCTACCTTGCATTCTCCTTATGACCGTAATTATTATAATAAAAACGGATAGTGCAACACTTTGAATCATATTAACAACACTTTGTTCATTGGTACAATCTCCATCACCATCCATCTACGATGCAAAAAATCATTATCCAGTTAGAAACTAAGTAGAATTCTAACAAAACCTGAATGAATTACAATTTATAAAAATTAATGACAAACTAAGTAGAATTCTAAACAAGCTATCGAGACCTAAAAATATTGCAGATCCAAATCCTTCATGAATTCAACATCCTCCTTTCTTTCTAAGAATTCAATCACTATCTACCAATATTTCATCTTTGATAGCAAAACTAATAATGAAGAAAATCACTAATATCGCTATCAAAATTCTAGATTCATCACACAAGATCCCAAAAAAGTTAAACCTAGGAAGATTAAAGTACTCAGAATCTAACGCTTACGCGTCAAAATAAAATGAAATACTATCAATAATTCTCAATAAAACATAGGAATAACTAAGAAGTGAAGAGATTTAGACTCACAGTTGAAGAGAAAAAGGGACCGAGGTTCCTCGGCGATTGATCGAACGTGGTTGTATGCAGTGATTTCCCCAAACCGACAAAAAATCTGACGAAAATTCGACAAAATCCAACATAAAACCGAAGAAATCCGACGAAATCCCCAGCTTTCGTAGATCCGACGCGCGAATAGGGAAGGAATGACGGGACTTGGCGGTAACCCTAGCCAACCAATAAATTTTCCGAAAATATTGCAGATTTGACAAAAAGGACGCCACATGAGGGTTTTCTGAGGTTTTCCGCTCGCTTTGGGAGGAAATCGCGACGAGCGATTTGGCTAAGGTGGAGGAGTTTTCCACCGCTGGAAACCCTAGAACCCACTGCGAACCAAAACCGTAAAAAAAACTAAAGAAAATAAAATGTCTGAGGTGGACGTGATGTCAGGAGAGGGAAATGGGTTTCGGGGTTTTTTTAGGAACCAAACAGCCCCTAAGAAGGATTTGGGAAGTGAGTAGATTTAAATATAAATAAAATCCATCCTCCGGGTTTCTAAAGGAAAAAAAAACAAAAATTCCTTATCTAGTCGGCTAATATACGGCTCACATCACAGGATAAAAGACCCACAAAAAATGTCCTCTTAAACCATTTTCAGTTTCTAAATAAAAAATAGGGACAAGGGAACTCCAAGGATGGCGATTCCTCTCATTTTTCTCTAGAATGGAGCGAGAACAACGGAGGCTGGCCACGATCTTCTCCGTAGATTTAAATATAAATAAAATCCATCCTCCGGGTTTCTAAAGGAAAAAAAAACAAAAATTCCTTATCTAGTCGGCTAATATACGGCTCACATCACAGGATAAAAGACCCACAAAAAATGTCCTCTTAAACCATTTTCAGTTTCTAAATAAAAAATAGGGACAAGGGAACTCCAAGGATGGCGATTCCTCTCATTTTTCTCTAGAATGGAGCGAGAACAACGGAGGCTGGCCACGATCTTCTCCCACCTCAGTCCCAGCCGTCAATTATCTCAGCATCGACGGCTAGGATCCCTCGAGCCCTCCGCCGCGTCCAGTGAAAATGGAGCAGATAGTAGCTCATGTGTCTTTTGCAAGGTTGCTCGAGGAGAATCTGCAGCTGTTAAGGTATAATTATCTCGAATTAATTTGTGGGTTTCCTTTAAACTTGATGATTTAGATACCCTTTGACCCAATTTAACTAATTTTGTTGTAATTGCATATTACAAGTACATTATTTTTGACCCCACCCTCTTTCTTATTACTGGGAAATGTGAATTTTTCATATGGGCATTCTTTGTTGATATGAATAATAATAATATTTAACTATATGTCGTAACCTGAACTCTGGGGTGGTGAAATGAGTATGTGAAATTGAACTTGAAGTAGGTTTCTCGGGAAGAAAGTGCTTGGTTTTATCTCAAAGAATTAGGACTGTAATGAGAGAGGAAGAAGGATATGTCATACACATTGCTAACTTTATTAAGGAAAAGAAAACAGTAGGGAATTTTTAGCCTTTTTGGGAACAAAGACCAAATTGTCTTCAACCTTCCGTCGGCTCCCATGTTAAAAGAACTCCCACCAAAAAGCACTGCTTAAGCCAATCTAGAAAATTTATCAAAGTAAAAGAACAGAGAATTCGGATGCCACTTTATTTACAAAACTAATTCCACTTAAAGCCATAAAAAATTAATTCGGATGCCACTATATCAAAAAACTAATTTGGATGTCACTATTTTCACAAAACTAGTTCGGTTGTCACTATATGCAATGCTTCTTTCTAGCATTTTTCTTGCTGGCTCAACAACGACATACTGAAAAGGGGGATGTTTGTTGGTTTGTTCGTTTTTGTTTTGTTTTTGGTGGGGGGTGGAGGAGGGGAGTGTGGGGACTTAAAAGGTCCAACTAGTGGGCTCAACTAGGGTAATGATATGAGAAAAGAAAAAATACACGTGGTTTGGCTTTTAGGCCCAGATACATGGGTGAAAACAAAATGTCCACCGGTCTCAACTAGGGTAATGAAGTGAAAAAACACACACACACACGCACACAAATAGATGCGGAGGATTTATGTGGTTCGGCTTTTAGGTGTACATCCATGGGCAAAGACAGCAAAATGTGCACTAATGAAAATCAGCAGAATATTGCAAGAGCATTACTGTCTCTCAAACTCAGAAGAGTATGCGACACTCCTTCAGATCCAAATATCAATCTTGACCTTTTAAAGGGAGAAACTCTTTCTTTGGCTCTCCATACTTTGCTCTCGAGATGCCCTCCCTTTGGATTGAAAACGTCTATCTATAGTTCCTGATACACGCAATTGTCAATGTGCAAGATTTCATTCAGTTAAGTCATAATGCGTGCCAGCCGCTGAATAGGTTTGCTACCTTAACCTATGAGCAATTCGCCACTGTATGCATTTAATGCATTTGTGGTTTCTTTTCTTTCTCTTTTCCAATGACTAATGGCCACTTTATTTGACATTTTTATTTTGGTGTGGATTCAACACCACACCTAACTGCTGTGGTGTGGGGGTAAGGAGCGGGGTGGGGGATGGAGCTTGGCTCTGCTACTGATAGGAAACAAGAGGTGATTTAGTTTTACAATTGACTGTTTGATTGAGGGAAATGTATGAACTAAATCAATAAGATAACAAATAATACCGATTCACCCTCACTCTTGCAAGCACCCTACTTATGAAAAATCCATAGAAATCATCCGATACAATCTTGTAACTCTTAAATTAGTAAAAAGGGAAAATTTTCAGCCAAACCTATTCTTAGATAGATACAAATCCAGATCTTCGAAAATAAATGCTAGTCTTAGAATTGGCATTCACCGTTTCTGAGAGTCTACCTATAACCGGCCTAAACTTGAGGTCTATGACATAGATAACAATTCATTTCAAAATAGTTTAGATTGGTCTGCGATGATAGTTTTCCTGGTAGTTATAGGAGCATATTGTTATATTTCTGACAGTCTTTTGGTCTGCTATAATAGTTTTCCTGGTGGTTATAGGAGCATATTGTTATATCTCTGATAGTCTTTTGCTAATCTGTCATGTGCTTTTATATGTCTATGAAATAACTCCCGTGTGCAGCAAATCAACCCATGTGCTTCATTATTCTGTTATTCCTTTCTAGTACACAACAGAGTTGTTATTTAACATGGAAAATTTGCATTATGGTTCATGAATTTCCATCCTAAGCCGTCATAGTAAAGCCTATGGTTGAGGTTCATAATCTGGACTTTATCAGTTATCATGTTTCTAATTGCTTGTTTGTTATTCTTGTATGCAGCTTTATGAGGATGATATGTGCATGTGCATTCTGGATTCTAATCCATTGACCAACGGGTAAGGTTCTCTTCACGTTATAATCTAGATGCAGTGATTCATCTCCAGATGAATAATTGAACAAGTTTTTTCTTAGAACTTGGACATTGTTGATCTCTTTGATAAATCAAATCTTATGGTACTAGTGCTGTTTTCTTACTTACCTGAGTTTGGACTCCTTTTATCTTAAGATTCATAGTTGGACAATTACAAGAGGATTTGCTAATGTTAGATATTTGTGGTCGTACTCTGGAAATCTGAGCAATCTTCTAGGATTCTAAAGCATAAACTTGGTCATAAGTAACTTTTATATCTTGTGACTATATTGTTCCTTTCCTTCTAATGAGATACATGAACTAGTACAATAATTGCGTATTTAAGTAAATTCCTACCTCTGTAGAAGCAATTTTCTCAGTTTAAATTTTATCTCATGATATATACTATCAACACGATGACATGTAACATTAACATGTATTTTTTCGAAACTATTATCTGCGTTTCTTCATGATTGGCTAAAAAAATTTCATCTGTTAAGAATGTAAGTTTGTTTTTCATTAAAGAAAAAGTAGTGTATCTCTGAGCTTGTGTCTTTAATTTTCGGGTGAAATTGTATTCTATACATGTTTTTTCAGTTTTTCTACTTGGCAACTAATGTCTATATTGTTGTTGTTTCTTTTTCATACTAATTTTTTCCCTGGATTTCATGTTGTTTCTTTGTAGGCACTCTCTCATCATTACAAAATCTCATTATCCCTCTTTGGATGCAACTCCACCTCATGTGAGTCGCATTATATTTTCATATTCATGCTTCACATAAATTCCTACATAGATTTGCATATTCATGCTTCACACAACTTCCTACTTAAAAGTCGAGGTCTAATATTTCTACTTCCTGCACAACATATAACCTTCAACTTGGTAACTTCATTATGCTTCTTAAAAGTTGAGGCCTACCTCACATATTTCTTGTAGGTGAAAAGTCAAATATGCTGTGCCTTTCATTGCTTAGGAATGTATTATTTGGCTGAAAGTCTTAAGTGAAGAGGAAGCAAGCAATATGCAATGCCAACTGTCCCATATATTGCGGATAATTCTAGGTAGCAAGACGGTTAGTCTGAAACTAACCAACCAAATGCATAGTGTCAACAAGATTTTGATTTGAGATCACTAGTTAAAAGGAATGCAACACGTCGTGTTGTAGTGGGGGGCTTCACAACAGAGAAGATGTTTATACAAAATAGAGAGTAACACAACACTAAACAAACACATTAGAGTGGAAGTGAACAACACATAATGACTTCACGTGGTTCAGTCTGTATGACTATATCCACAGGCGAAAACAGCAGATAAATTTACTAATCAAAAGAGAAGATTACAATGAGGAAATCAATCTCTAATCTAAAAAAACTCACTATACAATAACTCAGAGAAAGAATTACTCAATAACTCTCTCTCTCCTCTCTCTAACTATCTATTTTCTCTGTCTGATGCACCTTTCATCCTTCATCTTTAGATGTATTTGTAGTCTTCACATATCAATGTGAAGTAGACAAAAAAGTCGGTGGTATAGTACGGTTAAGTTGTGGGCTACAAACATAATAATTGGGCTACTTTTAACACATGCAACATTTGTGAGGAGGCGGTATGCAACATGAGTTTTCATTCTCAATTTAAAATCGCATGTTCTGACAAATCTTCATCTTGACTTTGATTGTGACAAAACTTCTCTTCACTTTTGTCATCTCACTAACAGCCCCTGACGGGCTTAACGTCGCTTTGTTGAACTCCAAGCAATTTAAGACAGTGCTTGAACTTTTGCAAATGTATGAACTTGCTCATCATATTCGCTAAGTTAACTGCAGTGCCAATTTTCAGAATCGTGATGACTTTAATTTCTCTAATAAAATGACATCTGACATCTATATGTTTGGTTCTTTCATGATACATCCGACGCTTCGTTAAATGCATTGCACTCTTGACTTTCACAGAACATTGTAGTAATACATTAGTGTAAGTTGAGATCTTCAACCAAATCTCTCAACTGAATAGCTTCTTACACTGCTTCTGTCACTATCATATACTTTGCCTCTGTAGTAGACAAAATAACTGTCAAATGTAGAGTCGCCTTCTAACTAATAACACTATTTGAAAGAGTAAATACATAACATCTCAAGAATCGTCTCTTATCCAAATTGCCCGCATAATCTGAATCAAAATAACCAATTATTCTGCAGTTGGAATGTGTTCTTGCTAAAATATAAACCAATATTAGCAGATCTTCTTAAATATCTAAGTATTCATTTCATAGCCTGCTAATGAACCTTTTCTAGCTTATCCATATACTGACTCATAATACTGGTTGCATGTGAAATATCCGGACAGTTTTTAATCATAGCATACATAATGTTTTTTACTGCATTGGAATAAGAAACATAAGGCATGTACCATTCTTCCTCGATTTGATGTGACAAATCTGTTGAAAAATGAAAATGAGCAGCAAATAGAGTTTTCACAAGCTTAGCATTGAGCAAGCTAAATCTCTTCAAGACCTTCTTGATAGGACAAATTTTTAAAAACAACCCCTTTTTAAAATTAATAGGCAAAAACGATCGTTTCGAAAAATAATCGGCAAAATCGACTCTTTTCGTCTGAAAATGATCGATTTTGCTACCTAGATTTTTTTAGTTGGGAGTGCACGGGACTACTAGTCCCGTGCATCCTATCTCTCTCCCCTAACTCACCCGTCCATATCTCTCCTTTTCTTACTCACGTCCTCCCTCTCCCTGCCCACCCCTCCTCCTAGCCAGCACCCAGCCCCCCCCTCCATTCCTCTCCACACTCCAACCCTCTTCAACGCCGCCCGTCTCCACTTCACCTCCCCTCTCTCCTTTGTTTCCATTCATCAGGCCATTTCCTTCGCCTTTCCTTCACAATCCTCATCACCATCCAGCCTCTTCGTCCCCAACCCCGGATCCGCAAGCGACACAAATTCTCCAAGGTCAGACAACAAGCCCACCCCAATCCAGTCGGCGACTTCACCGTCCTATCACACGAAAAAACCCCGGCAATCGGCAAAGGAAGCTGGATGGCCGGTGGTGGACGTGCGCTAGGAGCGGAGGTACGGTGGTAGGGCGGCGGGGTGGTGGTGGTGGGTGGAGTGGCTCGAGTTCGGTGAAGGAGGCGCGAAGAGGATGGATCTGAAGTTGGAGGAGGGGCGGTTGTAGGGGGCAGGCCTGTGAGAGGCGTGGAGCTTGGCGGCCGTTGTGATGAGATGAGGAGAGTGGATCTGAAGGGGGTGGCGGCGGGCAGGTGGCTGAGGGTGGAGGTGGCGGCGGGTGGTTGAGGGAGGAGGAGGTGAAGAGGGCTGGTTGGGGAGAGAGGATTTGAGTTTTGGTTGTGGGTTTAGAGGAGATAGGGGGAGGTGAGTGAAGAGAGAGAGAAGTTGACGGCTGAATTAGGGGAGAGAGATAGATGCACGGGACTAATAGTCTCGTGCACTCCAACTAAATAAATCTCGGTAGCAGAATCGATCATTTTCAATCGAAAATGGTCGATTTTGCTGATTATTTTTGGAAACGGTCGTTTTTGCCTATTAATTTTAAAAAGTGGTTGTTTTTAAAAAATTGTCCTTCTTGATATATTTCTCTGAGATAGAAATAATCTTTCTTCTCATCTGTTCTTGTAGATTTCCATTTCTAAATCTTCTTCGTTGCTCCTAAATCTTTTATCTCAGACTCTTGCTTGAGCTGAGATTTCAACATGTCGAAATCTGACATGTCAAATCATGTTATCAACATACAAAAATAAATATATAAAAAATTATCATTGAGCTTTTTATAATAAACACAATTATTATATTTACTCCAAGAGTAATCATGCTCAAACTTGAAAGTATCAAACATCAAATACCGCTATTTTGAAGACTGCTTCAACATATAAAAAGATTTCTTTAACCTGCACACGACCTTATTTACCTTCAACAATGAACCTTTCCGGTGATGCATAAGGATCCCTTCCGATTGATGCATAAAGATCTACTCTTCAAGCTCGTCATATAGAAAAGTTATTTTCACATCAAGTTACTCTAGCTCTAGATCAAAGCGAGCAACCATGGAAAGTAACATGTGGGTTCAAGTGTGCTTTACAATTGGAGAGAACACTATTAAAGCTCACACCTACGGTCTGGCTATAGCTTTTACCTATGAAGTGTGTCTTGTATCTTACAGAATTTATATTGATCAATGGAGGAGCAATATTACCATTTTTGTTCAAAAAGATACTAAAGTGGCTGATTGACTCATTCTATACTAGAAATAATAGCGAAAAATCCTTTGATAACATAGATTCCTATTTCTTAATGATATCCCATGATCGAGACAATCCTAATAATTTTCTGTCCTCTTAAGGCCTTCATTAACTCTCATGTTTGGTTCTTGTAAAGAGACTATGTTTTCAGCCATTGCAATAGTCCACTCTGCAGCCTCACTGACACTAACGACCTCCTTATAGGTAGAAGGCTTTGGAATCTCGATTGATTCTGCTATACTCAAAACCTAGAGAACCATGTGTACATAACATAGAGGAGATTGAATTTGCCTTTTTGTTCTTCCGGTGGCATTATACTGTTGTTTTGGTGGTATATCATCGTCTGAATATAAATACTTAAACTACTATATCCAAGCTAATTGATCTCGTGACGCTTGATCTTGGGCGATCCTCCAATTAGATAAAAGAGGTGAAGCACAAACTTGTATTTGACTTGAATTGCGACGACTTCATTCCAATTTCGCCAACCTTCAAGATATCATGATTAAGCTCAATTCCATTCAACCTGGATTGCATATAGGAGGAAAACACAAATACTAGAAATCACTATTAGAAATTGTTTGTTAATCATCAAAACAAGATTAGACAATAAGCTCATAAACATGAGACCTAACAATAGGTGCTACAATAGTGTCAACTTCAAAGGATTTAGATTTTGACAATACTTATTTGTGTATATGCAGTTAGGGCATATGTGAGACATGACTGGATGTATTGAGCAAACAAGGTTTGTTTTGTGATCAGAAAACTAACAAATTATACTTTTGTGAGCGCTGTATTTTTGGTAAACATCATAGAGTCTCATTTAGTATTGGTGTTCATAAAACTAAAGATACTTTAAATTACTTCCATTCAGATGTTTGGAGTCCCTCGCAGGTTCCATCGAAAGGTGGAGCTCGTTTTATATTAACATTCGTTGATGATTATTCTAGAAAAGCTTGAGTGTCTCCTTTGAAGCATAAGAGCGATGTTTTTAGGGCCTTCAAGCAATGGAAGGTTATGATTGAGAAACAAATAGAAAAAAAGTGAAACGTCTCAGAACTGATAACAGGATGGAGTTCTGTTCCACGAAGTTTGATCAGTTCTACAAGGATGAAGGTACTGTGCTCTGAAGCCCCCTCATTGCATCATGTCGCAGCGAAGAAGGGAGCTTTGCTATTTGCTGAATTGCTTTCCATCAACATCCATTGATTGCAAACCTCCTGTTGAGATATGGTCTCACATGCATGTTGATATTCATGTCTTTGAATATCTTAGGTCACAATTGTTATCATGTTAATGAAGAAAGTTAAAAGCTAGTGGGAAGAAGAGAATTGTTCTTGTGTATCACTTTCCATCAACATCCATTGATTGCAAACCTCCTATTGAGATATGGTCTCGCATGCATGTTGATATTCATGTCTTTGAATATCTTAGGTCCTAATTGTTATCACATTAATGAAACAAAGTTAAAAGCTAGTGGGAAGAAAAGAATTGTTCTTGGTTATGGTTTTGGAGTTAGGGTCTATGGAGTCTGGTCACCTAGGTAGTGAAAATTCTATGCTATGACCAAGAAAGGAGTTTGGTATCCCTGCAAAAAGAGAAGGTGCCAGTAAGCAGGTTAGTTTGAAGAAAAACTTAAACAGGAACCATGAGAATGGTTCACATCAACCTGATTGGATTAGCAGAACAACAACAATACAATGTTGCCTCCAGTCGAGCATGGAGGCAATATGTCTCTCTTTAAAACTATGATTATGAAGGCTTGCTAGCATATGCACTCAATCTAACAGAAGGGGTGGAGTTCCTGTACCGAGCCAATTAATCTTTCAACGTGTTATTTCTAGTGCAGAGACCACTTGGTGGATTGATTCTATGTGTGTAAGAGATAAATAAAATCACTTCAAAATGTGAACTTGTCAAACTGTGAAAGTGAAGGAAAATCGTTGGCTATAAGTGTGTTTTCTAAAAGAAGTCTACGACTCCAGGTACACTGGTACAGAGAGAACAATATTCTCGTATAGTTTTCTAGGCACTACAATCAGAAGAGGGAGTAGGCAACAACTAGATATTCTCTCCCATTGTGAGGCACACTTCCATACTGATAATGAGATAATGGTTCTCTCCAGTATTTCATAAAGTCCTTAGTGACATAGTGACAATAGAATTGAAGCAATGTAAGGGTCGGTTCTGTGACTATTGTATAGTGGATGAATAGTTCTCTTGATTATTCTTGAATGAGTTCATGAAGTGGTAGATGAGAGTTCAAATTTGATAGAAACAGGAGTACAGTACTTTGGATTCATTGTTTATATGAGTTGATACTATGAGGGTAATGGTTGGTGAATCAGGGGAAGATAAGAGCTTATAGTTCAGATGGAGGAAGCTTGTGGTCATTGTGTCAATAGATAATGGATGGAATAGCTGAAAAATAACAAACTAGGTGTGAAGGTGTGTGATATGCAAACATCAGTTGAGATGACTTTTGCATCGGATTTGTTCAAAGATTAAAACCAGGTGCATGTGCATCCAAAGATTTGTAGAGAATATAAACGATTTGGGAAAATTGGCTTTATGCTGTGAAGAATTAAATGTACTATATCTATTCAGGGATAACCAGGGTATAGACTTGGCCCTACACCAT